TCAAAGCAGAAGGTCTTCAGCATGTTCCCAGATAAGGTTAAGTTGAATGAATAATAGAGAAGGAATGATAGATTTAGAGAGAATCTTTGATGAGAAATCATATGAGGCCAACAGTTTATCTTCATCTGTATTTGTAATACTGCATGTGGAGATTTAGCTTATTGAAATGAAGCATACTGTATTTTACTCCTCTCACTGCAGTTTCTCAGGAGTTGAAGGCAATGACGCAGTGGAGGTGTCGCACCTGGTGCGCGTCGGCGGCGCCAGAGGCAGCGTGATCCCAGTGTCCGGACCGCCCCGCATAATGCGCGGCGGCGTCGGTGGTGGCGGGGCGGACGCCGCCATACTCGAGCTGGCGTCGCCGGTGCCGTCGACCGACTCCTGCTTCTTGTGTCTGCCGCCACGGGACTACCCGCCGGGCTGTGTCGAGTCCCTGCAGTGCACTGTGCTGTCGACGCGGGTGCCTGGCGCCCGAGGCGAGGGTTGGGACTCGTACACTGCGTCGGCCACGTCCTGCGGGGCCAATCAACTGTGTGCTTCGGCTGCGGCGCCGTTTCGACCGTCTGCTGGTGCAGCTGGAGGCGGTGGCGGCGGCGGAGGAGGAGGAGACAGGAATCTGGCCAAGTGGTGCGCTGAGAGATCCGCGGCCTTGGTTTGTCAGGCTGGCAACACTGCGGTGTGAGTTATTTTTTTTTCATTTCTTTGTACCTTATCACAGCTTCGTCTTTCTCAATGTGTGTTTTTTTCTTCCGTGGTGGATCCCAGTATATATTCTCGTCCAAGGAGATATTTTTAGTGGTTCTTTCTATACTTGAGCAAAAATACTGCGTACAGTAATTCATTTGCGCACAGTACAGTACATTACGGTGCTCGCTTCCAGCATGAGGAAATTAATTGGCTATTCCCAAATGAATTTCACCTATTTTTACTGGGAGTGCCAAAGGCACGTAATTTTTCTCTCAAAATATGCAAGAAAGGGAGGGGGCGATTATTAGATGGGTATATGTTTAAAGAAAAAACTTGTGCTTGATGGGGCTTGAGGTGCCCATTGTACTCAATCTCAACAGGAAAAATGTCACCAAGTTCAACAGAAAACCTATTGCAGTGGGAGCAATTGATGACTATAGTTCATTTCAGATTTACACTCAATTTTGTGAATTTTTTAATATTTTGGTTTGAAGGTCACAAAGAATCAGGTGTCTGTCTTACTTGGGGATAAGATTTTGTCCACCTTAGCATTAAAATAACAACCCGGGTGTGAGGTACTTGATAAGGTACACATGGTACTTGAATTAGTATGTTATATTGCAGTTGAGCTGCAATTACAAATCTCCAAGTCAAATGCATAGGACTGCAATAAGTGGATGTAATTGGTGCTTGGACCATGTCCCTAATGTCAAAACCTCCATATGTCCTACCTCATTTTCCCATAGACTTCATTGGGAATATTTTCAATTAGCTCTCTTTATTGTAGATCAGTAATTAAGAAAAAGTCTTCCCAACACTTCAATAAAATTGTTTATTTAACTTCCAAAAACAGAAAAAAAATCGCAGAAGAAAACCACACAGAATCTGATCTTTCAGAATCACCATGAGCTCAAGAATCAAAGAAAAAGAAGGAGTGGTGCTATACTGCTGGTATACATGATGGAAAAAACTGAAAAAATAACAAAATTAGCCATTTTTATGAATCATTGTCATTTTATAATTGAATTCGTTCTTATGATTTCCAAGGCAAATGCAGTAGCTCAGTTTCTTCAAAAATTATTCATATTAGAAAGAAATGTTCAAATGTGTACAGAAACCTTGGAAAAGTGTCCATATCTCAAAACACTGTCTGGATGTTGGGTCAGATTGGTTGAAAAAATGGAGGCACCAAATATGAACACTCACAATTTTTTGTGCTTCTCCTATCCTAATTCTTCTACTTGAATTGTTGTTTTCCTAACTCTTAACCTCCTTAGCTTGAATTTTTCTGTTGTGTGGCTTGAAGCTCGACTTGAAGAGCTTGGGCTTCAGTTTAAAATCACTGATTTGCTTTTGGGTACATCATTACAATTGAATCTCCACAAGTCAAACTTCCTTAACACAAAACATTCCTAATTCAAAAATTTTTTTCAAGCCCGCATCTGAATTCCGAGAGAAACAATACATTAAACCCCACATTCCCCCAACCAGAAATCTTTCCTTCTCAAACCTGAGTAAGTCAAATTTTCAGAGGCTATTTTTTTTTTTTTCTTCTTGAAACAGGAGAGACAGAAGCAATAAAAAAAACAGAATTTGATGCGCTTTGAAAAAAGTTATAGACCAGTTTGGGTAATTGAAGCAGTTTCAGCATCATCCTGTCAATTTGTTTAAGGGACAACTTAAAGGCTTTGGAGATTACCATTTAAAATGTGGTGCAATGCTTCTATTTCCCCTGCAACAAAAATGTTTTTGTTCCATCATGCAAGCCTCTGAAACATGGTCTAATGTGTTTGCTGTGGTCCCTTGAGATTGGACTTATGGAAGGTACCTCCTGTATTTTTGTGCCTATCCCCCAAGTCAATTCCTTTGCATATATAGGTAAGAGAAAAGCAATAAATTCGATGTGCTTTTAGAGGAAGTGAAATAATATTTGAGCTAATGAAAACCTTGCCCCTAAGTTCAACAAGCTGTCAACTGGATGAAAAAATGGAGACACCAAATATGAAATATCCTGGACTTGTCTTCAGTCAGAGGCACAGCACAAATACTAGAGGGGTTTGGATGTGGGAATGTTGATTGAAATTTGTGAACACAACACTGAAAAAGGGAAAATAAACCTTTCTGTTCATTCATAAATACAAGAAGCAAAGACGAAAAAATCACTCTCTTATTTTGCTGATTGCCCAGGTTGTTTGGCCACCAATCCTCTCCGGAAGTGGACGAGACGACGCCCGGGGGCCAGTGCGGACGCGGTAGCTCCGTTCAGGGCGTCTTCACGTCCCTGGTGACGCCAGCTGTCAACGAGTTCTACCGGGCCGCCGCCACCGGCGCCGACGAGGCGGTGCTGGGCAATAATGCTCAAATAATTCCCAACAACATTCCCCAGGAAGAGTCACGTCCATCACCGTTTCTGCCGCCTCTCCTCTCGAGTCTTGGCAACACTGGGAGTGTTTCATTGTCATCGAACCCCAACAGGTTCCAAACGCCATCCAATGGACCCTTGAGGAGGAAGTGATTATTTTCGTCTTTGTGTTATCCGAAAGAAATCTGTGACTTAATCGAAGAACCCAGTTTATTTCAATTTTTGAAACCCCATGGACAGGAAAGGAGGCATTTTAGTCGCATTCTTGAAGGTAGTCATAGGCAATAATAAATTCACTAATCCAAGGCTGTAGCTTGAAATTTGTTGATACCTACAATTTGAACTCTTTCCAAAATGTAAAAAAAAATTCTCTTCGGATCTGGGTGTGTTTCATCTTCCTTGAATTGACTTATTGTTGAACTTAACCAAGTGAAAGATTTTATCAAGTAATATCTTGGAGACCCTGTTCAAAATTGTTTTGAAACAAGGTAACCTATACTATCTTAACTCCAAATGTTTGAACTGTGATCACCCAAGACTCAAAATATTTCAACATGAGGAAGGACATGGAATTCAAATGGTGATGCTTTTGGAAAGTAGAAGCAGCAAATCTGATTGGTCAATAAAATCATGGCTTGAGGTTCTGCATCCTGTATGTTCATTCAATCCAACTGCAGTTTCCTATGTTCAGCCCCTCTCATGTTGTGGGAATGAGCCAGGAAATTCTTTTGGACACACTATACTGTACAGAGTTGTTGAAAACATTTCATGCATACCCTATTCCTTCTTTTAAAATTTACAGGATGCACTTTAAGACCTCATATCCTTAATCTGCATGTAAAGCATAATTTTTTTATAAAGTTGAATTGATATGCTGCTCATCTCAAATTTGACAGAAATTTCCAACTGTAAAATACTTTAATTTCTCTGTACTGTGGACCCTTGGTTAACAAACTGCTTGGTTAACTAACTGCTTGGTTAACAAACTTTGTAGTTACCAAAATTTTAGTTTTGAGTAAAACAATGAACCAAAATTTGGCAAACTTTTTTTCTAGAGAAAATGCCAAATTTGAAGATTCAAAATTTGATTTTGAGACTGAAATTTATGGTAAAATTTAATTGCAAAAAATTCACCTATGCACTTCTATGAAAATAAATCCCCATCTGACACTTTAATATGCAAATTTTTTTTTACATTGTTAAGCTACCCTATTCATATACCAGATGCTCCTCTTTCACAGAATTACTTGCTTTTCCATGCTTTGTTTTTTATTTTCCAAATGTTAGAAAGATCTACATTCCGCCAATTTCTTGGAGGACTTTGCTCGAAATTTTAGGTATATTACGGATAATGTAAAAGTATTAAACAAATAAATTTCCCCTGAAAAGTAATCCATTTGATCTCTTTCCTCCAAGCCCGAATTATTGCAGTTTTTCTGTGTTTCAAAAACGATCTTCATTTTACAAATTTTTTTCATAAATTTTCTTTATTGCAATCCTGAATACGTGCGTCGAAATGTGTGCCAATAAGATAGATTCTCGAAAATCTCCGAGGATAATTTAAAACCCTGAGTCCTGCTATACGCATCAGAAGCGGAGAATTTAGCCTCAGATTCTAACTGCTGTATATATAGACAATCAAGTCGTTGCCATTATGTGAATGCGGTGAGAGGATCCTTGATGATTGATGTACTCTATTAAAGGAATGTGAAACTCACTAATGTGCCTCCTTTATTGATTACTTCAAAACTCGCAGCAATTGACCCTTACATTTCAATTTTCTTTGACGGTTTTCTTGTTTTGCTCATGGACTGAATTTTTTGAATATTTGAAACAATGTTTGGAACTAAGTGATGCTGTATCTTTTCCCTGGTGTAGGTTAAATGCGTGATCAATGATATTTCAAGTCTCGCGGCGAATTTTCCTACGGTCAGAGGAATCTTGTTGAAAGATGATGATTTCCTGGATCGGTTCTTTCCTTGTCATAGCTCAAGCTTTCGCCCAGCTGGAACATGAGGACCTTGTTGGTGAGAAATTTGACTGTCAAATTCCTCTTTCTTTTCAGTAACAAGCTTGGGATAATTTTGCGAAACTTTGTGCCCATGGACCATGACCACTGGAAAAATAAGCATAATTTTAAACCAAGGTCCAAGGTTAAATTCTGACAACAGTCTTCAAGCAGAAAATGTTTGCTGAAAAAGAAAAAAATTGAAATCATCAATGGGTGGTATTTTTCCTGCATTCCCAGTATGGAATTAAAATTAGAGAAGTATCCAAACAACATGATTAAAACAGTGTGATTGTGTGCTGTAGGTGTACATGACATGCATACAGGAAGCTCAACTACTCAGGGTTGCCATCATTTATTGGGGATGTGTTATTTATTGTATAAATGCAGCTTTTCCAATATAGGGAAGTTTGCTGAATTTCTTTGAAGCTGAGTCAGTTTATTGCTGTAAACTTACTTTACAATTCTCATTATAATTAATCTATCAAAGAAAATTTTCTCTGTCCCCACAATTTATTCATGGTTGTAATGCTTTGAAACTCTCATTCTAACAAATGCATTTTAGGTTTCAATCTCACTATAATCAATTTTTTGCCCTGATTCTGGGCATATATATCAGATGGATTATTTAAAAAAAATGAAACCGAGAAAAATGGACAAGTGAAGCATTCTAACTTCATTTAAGAAGCATAACTTTCTATATAGAAAAATGTTTTTTTTTAATACACAACATATGCCATATTCTTTGGAAAGCTTTGGCTTTCTTTGAGAATTTATGCCTTTCTTTCAATGCTGAAAAGTGTGTTCAGAATGATTGTCGAAATATTCGAATTTTAAGAAATAACAAGTAACAGGTATGAGGAAATTATTCAGAAGGGATTCAGTATTCAGTCAATATAATTGTGTTGCCTGTCAATTTTCCAGACTAACAGCACTTTAGTAAAAATGCAGGTACTAAACATAAAAGATAAAGACTACTGTTGATATGCTTGTACTGCTCATATTCAAAATGGTACACTTCATTTCATCTCAGATTAAATTAGAAATATCGACAGGTATTGAACCTATTATTTTAAAAGCATGGTACAATACTCATTCCCCACAACATATCAACCAGAAATTTGCTGAAAACCATGAAACTTGAATCAGAAAACTTTCATTGAACTGTTTTTTTTTGTATATGCAGGACTTTCTGGTAGCAAGGTTTTACTGCTTGTTTAGTAATTGATTTCTTCTTTGATTATTTTTTTTGAATAGAGGTATTCTCCAGCGGAGGAAATCTTGTTGGCAAACCAAATAATCGGCAGCCAACATGGCCGCCTTCTCCTCCTCCAGCTCAGAATCGTCCAGTGATCTTTGACCATCGACAGCCAATCAATCATACTTCCGGCGTGATTCGTCCGCAATCTGGATTTGATTACATTACTGGGGCTGATCAGCAGCACAGGGTTCATCCTCAGAAAGGAAATGCAGTCATTGTTCCACTGAAAGGAGATGACCAGTTTGCTCTCCATCGTGCTGCTAAGGATGAAAACTTGGCTTTAGTAAGTTATATTCTAACTTATTTATGTACAGTTGCCTGCCCCTCCCCCACAACATACTTCAATTGTGCTACAGACTAGTTTGTTGTGTGGAAATTCTGCTATGCAAATTCCATTATTAGAAAATTAAAAATTTTAATTGTTTCCCATTTATTTTAAACAAACAGAATTCTCTTATATGCGGGGATTCAGTCTTTTGGGTGGGGGAGAAAACCACCTCATCCAGAAGCAGTATCTTGGGCCAAAGTCTGTTGTGCACGCTTGTGCAAGAGGTTTGATGTGCAGGGAGCAACTGTATATATACTCATATAAACAACAAAATACTGTTATCCATCAACCATTTGCTTCCTAATGTGGAAATTTTTGACATATATACAGTGAAATCTTGATACAACAAACTTTGGGGAACTTCAGAAAATTTTGTCATCCAGAATAATTTCTTATAAAAAGATTTTCCAAAATTGATGACTAAAAAAATGCATTTCAAACCTGTTCATAATCAGTTACTGTACTATACTACAACTATATTTTTGCAACAGCAATTACTGTACTACAAATCAAAAATTTGAATTATAGAGAAATTTGCTGCAGACACTGTTGTGGCAAAGAAAGTCCATTTCTATAACACACTTCCCAATTCCAGTATAACACGCTTTTTTGTGGAATGTTCAATAGATTTTGCAGGCAGACATTTCTTGCCTGAGGTATACACACAGTCTGAAATTAGTGAATTTCATATTTTACTGACTCTTTCTTGTAGAATGTCAAACGGAAACTTTAAAAAATCAGACACATGCTTCGTCCAAAAGATCCACACAACGTCCTCCCACCACGACCAAATTTTCATATTCTTTCCCCAGACTGAAGAAATTGATGCAACTGCTAATGAAAGTCAGAATGATTAGAACTATTTTTATCTTCAGAGAAATCCCTCGTTTTAAAACCATGGTGAAAATCTGATAAATTGCTGGAAGAACAATATCTAATTGAATGATTTTCTGGCCATTAATTTTGAAAATTCATTCTGTAATAAAAAAAGCATTCAGTGTAAACAAAATTTTCTGAAGTCCCAGAAAGTTTGTTATGGCAAGGTTTTACTTCAATGAGAAAATTTTCAACATATGCACTGAATCTATGGGCTTTCTCCTTGGACTCGAAAAAGAATGTTTGTCAAACTGTGAACATTGTTTTCAATATGCAAGGATAGTTTTGACAAGATTTTACTGTAGGAAGCTACTGTTCTAAAGAAAAGCCGTGTATTATTTTGAAGGTGAAGGAAATCTTGAAAAAATCGCAGAGATACGGCACTGTGTCGGAATCGCTGTTTGCCGTGGATTACCATGGCTTCACCCCGTTGCATTACGCTGCAGCCAACAACGACCGGACCATGGCTGTGTACATAGCGACATCTGTGTCCAGCCCGGAGAACTACGTGACGTACAGTGCAGCGGAATTCCCCGAAGTGCCCAATGCATTTCTGATCGCTGTGTGGAACAACAGTGCGTCGGTTGTGGATGCTCTGCTTCCTTTGATAGAGTCCAATGCCAAGTTGCTTCAGCCCAGTCCCAAGGGACTCTCTCCTCTGCATGTGAGGGTCAAATCATCTTTTCTTGTTCTTTCCAATGAGGGTTGTCCCACTTGGACGCGACCTGTGATATTTTTCAGAGGCGGAGTGTGATTCTGAAAAAAAAAAAAAAACTTGATATGGGCCATGATGTTATGATTGATGGAGGTCCTAGGATTTGTTCCATAATTTCAGAAAAGTTTTTAAATTCACTGATCAAGTTGAAAGTCTCCAGTTACAGCCAAAGTTCTCCACTCTTGTAAAAATCTGGTGAAAAATTTTAACATCAGCTATTTGATTTTTTTCTTTTTTGCCCAGTGTCTCTTCCATATGCTGTAAATAATGATTGAAACAAAATAATTTCAAATTCTTAGCACACCTACTGTGACATGGATAAAAAAAAACTCTGGCTCCAACTGGAAAGTTTCTATATTTGTCCTAATGCAGTAAATTGAAACACTGTTTAACTCCAGGAAGAATCCCAGAACCATTGAAAATCGTTGGCTTTATCATCCTCCTCTTTCAAAATCAAAGAAACCCTATAGAAGCATCAGAGGTCACGTAAAACTGGGACAACCATTGTACAGTCAAACCTAGATTAATGCTTTGCCATAATTCTTGTTGGCACTAAGCAAGGTGGTGGCGCACAATTTAGGGTATTGTATGCGAAAAAGGTCAATAAAGTTGAGGGTGTATGCAGTGTGCGTAAAATAAGCTTGTTGACAAAATCCATTTTACGCCTGTGTGTCGGTTTTTACACAATGAAGAATATGCTGAAAATATGTTGAAGCTCAAAAGCCCGCTTTTATTACTGCAGTTTAATGCGTTAAATCCGACTGAATGGATACATTGTACATGAATATTTTGTCTAATAAAATAGGAGAGCCGTTTTTGACTATGTTGTTCAAGTTTGAGTTTTATATGAATGAATGAATGAACAGAAAACTTTATTTGCCGCTTTTCAGCATTCACAAGGCACAACCAAAACTCCCGCATCCAAACCCCCTCCCCACCCAACTCAACTCCCCCCAAGACATTCAATCACTTCATATCATGACACAAAGCACAAACCAATGACAAAAACAGAAGAGAACACACTCCACAAAATAAAATAAAACTGGACATCCTACACATATGCTGCATACATCCACCTATCCCCAATATTGAAGAAAAAGCAGCAGTAAAAGTTTATTTAAAGCACAAGGTCTTAAAGCACGAGGTCTTTTATATGAAGTGCAAGAATCACCAATATTTCCAGGGGAGCTTATGCTTCATTTGTAAAATTTTGAATGGAAGAAGGTGTCATCCATCAAAACTATTACATTGTGAAAATATTTTATGAAGTCTGAAGTAATATTTTCAAAGTCATCCTGAGTTCCTGTGTGTGCTTGTGCATTTGGCTCTCATTAAGAACTTGAAGTATCCCTATAGGAAGAGGCCTTCTTTTTTCCTTTATTTTGAACAACGGTTAGGCATATTTATGTCACTAAATTGGTCATTTCTTTGAAGAAAAAAAAACAGTAGAGAGATTCTACAAGAATTGCCCCTGAGCAGTAATCTTTTGGTCCTCAAGGGTCCTTTCCAGCATATAGGCTATAATAGGGCGTCTTATTTACAATTACATTTTCTCTGAAATTTTTTATTTCTGTCCCTTTGACTTTTTTTTTTTAGAGAGAATTTGAGAATTTTTTTCACCTATAATGACTAAAATGCAACATTTCAATGCCCCTGCTCTGCTCTGATTTCATTGTGACGCCAATTTCACTCTATGTATGTATGTATGTATATATGCAGATTGCTGCAGCCAAGGGATATGTGGAGATCGCACAAATGCTCGTGGACCGTCTGTTCAGGACAGACATCAGTCTAGCATGCTTCGCAGACGCCAAAGGAAGAACCCCCATGCACTTCGCTGCCCGCTACGACCAGGCCGAAATAGCGGGGGTCATCTTGAACCGGATGACCCCCAAGCAGGCCGAGTCCTGTTTGTCGCACGCTGCCATGAACGGATGGACTCCGTTGCACTACGCAGCCAGGTACAATACAGTACCAAATACTGATATACAGCAGTACAGTACATCCATGCATTTCGGAACAAACCGTGTATAGCGAAGAGAGCGTCCTCTCATTGTCCCTGGGTGCTTTACCACCAATAGTATTTTGAAGCTTGCTTGGCAGATGTCGCATCACAATTACGGGGGCCATGGAACCCAGCTAATCTTCACGGATACCTCGTACAGTATAACGTATCTACCAGAACACCATGTACAGTTCACCATTCTAAACATAAAAATATAACTTGGGAGTAAAAATGAGGTGCTTGTCATAGTTTGGTACAAATTTTCAAGTCACTTTTTTTTTTTGTGGAAAACTTTGTGCCCACTTCAGAATTTTATTTTTCATTCATACATATCTATTAAACGGAGCACTTTTTCTACAGTTACAGTATTCTTGCTGCAACGCATTTCTTGCTGGCACAAAGCTTAATTTGTGTAAGATGCCATAGGGTTCTTTTCCCATGTCATTATTTGAAGTATCTGCAACAAAATTCTCCCTCTGTGATTGACGTATTCCTTCGAATTCATGTTTGATAGAGAGAGAATCTCTCCCTGCATGGCTAATATTTCTATGTACCCAAAATATCCCGCAGGAATTTAATTTCCAGGTGGGCTTGAATTTAGATTTTCAAGCGACACTGCTTTTCAGTCAGCAATTTTGGTAACTTGAAAAAAAGTTGAACTGAGGTGCATGTCTTATCTGCAGGCAAAACAATTTTTAGAAGTTTTCAGCTGAAAATGTAAGGGTCCCTGCTTATTTGAAGACATGTGGTGCTTGAGTGGATGTAATATTAAATCTCAGATTCAAATTTTTATATTTAAATTATTTGAAAAAAATGCATCAACTGGACAGCATGATCTATGATGTCACAAAGTAGATGAGATGTGTTTGTAATCAATTGGCACTCATGTGGAATGAGAGAGAAGATGACCAAGTTTGAAATGTTGATTGGGTTTAATGCATTGCCTGCTTGTTTATGAAAGGGAAGAAATCCCAAGTTTACCATGTTTATTATAAAAGATTAGCGATTTGAACATAATGTGAGGCCTTGATATACATATGATTCGACTTGGGGTCACTTGAAACAAGAAACATTTGACCCATCATCTAGAAAATGTTTCAATATATGGACACTCTTCCAACATTTCTGGAAAAAAATTAAAAATGTTCATCTCTCTAATTGGTCTTGATGCCTTTTGAATACATTGAGCAATTTAAATTCACAAAAATTAAAATCAAATTATATGATACAATTTCTCTGCTTGATAATTTCCCTGTTGATGAAACATGCTAATTTTGTGCTAATTTTTCAAAGTTTTTCTCCATTGATCTGTGTACAATATATATAGCTCGCCTGGATACTTTTTGTTTTATTTCTTTTGAGCTCCAGCTTCTCATGCAAAAAGATTGGGTTCTGTGTGGTTATCTTCTGCATCAAAGTTATTTTCGTTACCTTGAAGTTGTAATAAAAATGTATATATATTTCCATTTTGGAGACTACAGTATATATTTCCAATACTTTATGAATTAGTAGGAGAGCCACTTTAAATACTGTACACATGTTCCAAATCCCATGAAAGTCTGTATGGCAATAAATAAAGGCGTGACTCAACATTCAGAGCACGACTTATTCGTCCGCATCTCGGGGCCCTATATATACGAGGCTAAACGACTCCATATACGATGTTTAGATGTACTGTACTTGCATGAATCCACATCATCATGCTGCATGTAGTGTCATTTCCAAGGTATCACACGAGTCGAATCGTGAATTTCATCCTGCGACTCTCGGCCACGGAGCTCAACAACGAGGCCAGAGGCTTCAGTCCATTGTCCCTGGCTGCCTTTGGCTGCAGGGACTTTGACGGGGACTCGACAGTGTCGCTGCTGCTGCATGCGGGTGCCAACGTCACGTCGAGCAAGGGAGACGACATCGAGGACGTGTGCAGACGAGCCCAGTGCCAGTCCTGCCTGAATGCCTTCGAAGTGAGAATGCGTCTGACTCACTTACATGCTGCTAGCTGATATTTCGTTTTTTTTTATTGGCATGCGTAAATTGAAGGATGACGAAAAAACCATGCGTTAATTTATACTTCACTTTCAGTTGAACCTCACTATAGTAATGAATCGAAACTCATCCATAAGTCGAATTTTTTAAAAGTCTCATTCGCAGTTCCGAATAATTCTCTCAATAGAAAGAATTCATTGGAAAGCATTCTAACTGAGTTGAAGGCTTTTTTTTCCCAAACCTCCCAAGTTCCAATTTTCTGAGGCCTTTTGGCTATGATTTTCCTTGCTGTTATAGGGAAGATAGAAGCAGTTAATATTGCATTTGATGTGTTTTGAAAAGAAGTGCTGGAAGGCTGAATTGAGCAAATGAACCCCTGCCTTCAAGTCCAGCATCTGATATGGTCAACTCATTCGAGAAGCTATTTAAGTCCCGTAATATCACCATTTGAAATTTCCTGCAACCATTCTCTACTTTGTGCATCAAAAACTGGCTGGTGTTCCATAACTCCAATTTAAATAACGCAACAGTATCTTTGTAACGCAATTTTTTGGTCAATTGATTAAAGTCATTCAAGAAGAAATACATAAGGCCCGAAATATCACCATTTAAAATTTCCTTCAATTGTTCCATACTTTCAACAAAAAATGGTTGGTGCTCTTGCTCCATAACTCCAACCTAAATAACTCAAAACCTCTCTATGATGTGATTTTTTCTGGTCTCTTGAAATGCAACTTAGTTTGGCTTGAATGTAGCATTATTATATTGTATATGTCTTGGGTCTGCTGCGGATGACTTCTCTTTTGTATTATATTGCAGGTATTTTTTGAGTCAAATGCCATCAAATATGATTCCACCTGCAACGTGCTGAGAGAGTCGAAGGACTTTGTTCCATATGGTGAGCTAATGTGTAAAATTTTTAAACTTTCATTGATCAATTTTCAAGTTTGACACATACCCATATTGTCACATCATTCGGCGATAAAATCTTGTTAAAAAAATGCTTGCAGACTTTAAAAAAGGTTTATTATCAATAGCACTTTTGTTATAACGAGTTATCCAACACATTTGACTGGGATTCAAACCTGCTTATATTCAAAATTTTCCTTTTTGGTATTTTCAGATTTTTTCATGTTTGGGAAACTGTTATCTTAAAATGAACAACTTTTGGCTTTTGAAATCCTTCTATTTTACTTTGATTCTGTGAACAAATTTCATTTCCGTAAAGTCTTCCCAGCCCTTTATCCACCACATGATGCTCGAAAAAGTTTGCTACAGTTTTTACCTTGCAATTCAACTTCCAGCAATTTGACTCTTATGCAATTTGACAGTCACATTTGCTGGGAGGTTGACTCTCAATTTGACCTATACCGTGCAAGTTGGCCTGTGGATTGAGAGACATGAAATATCAAAGGGCATGCAGATAACATGCATGAGTCAAAAGTTGACTGCTGTGCAATTTGACTATAGTCCAATGATGGATTAGGGTTGCATTACAAAATACTACCTGTATCTTGGAGTTAGAGAGTTTTTTATATGAGATTTTCATTTCTATGACATTTGCTTATTGGATTTCTGCCAGGATCTGGGAAAATTGTACCCCACTGAAAAATATGTTGTAATAAGAGTTTATGGTATTGGCTACTCCTGGTTTTCATGGATGTATTCCATTCAGACAAGTTTAATGATATTGCATGGGTTTTGAAAGCAATCTGGTTTGAAAATGATGTGTATGAATTTTTTCATTTTATAATACTTTGATTTAGAAAGACGAACCAAGACTCGTGGAGGATCAGAAAACTGTGGGATCCCAAAGATCATCCCCAGCAGGAACCCGTGTTTCTTTGTCGACGTTATAGATTTCACTGGATTTTTGAGTCCCTCCAACGGAACAAAAATCGGAGTTGGTGTTGCCATCGACGAGAATCTTATCCTCGTTCCGGCATCCGCATTCGTCATCACAGACAGGTGACGAAAACTCTAATTCCTGGAGAGAAGAAAAAAAACGCATATAACCTATTCATCCTGCAGTATTAGGTCCCTAAGAAAGGGACATCCGAAAATACGGACAATATGACTCAAGGAACCTTAGAACTGAAGAAATGTTCCCAAGCACAAAACTTGACAGTGACTGAAGTTATGGACGCTTCACCAGGATTTTTGAAGGAATTTAACTTGTGTATACAATATCTCTGTATACAGTATTACCATTTCTTGAGAAATGGAGCTATTTGCATTTAAAACTTTTAAAAATAATTGAATATACAATTATCTTAATCCATAATCAAAAGCAATTTTTCCAAGCTAATTTTGTGCTAATCTTTTTAGTTGTTTTCATCATGTGCCCTCCATGATGATTAGGAAGAGTTAGTTGTTCTTGTTACTTGCTTCTTGATCTCCTTCTCATGCCAAAACATTGTCAGATGCTGTGTGATTTTCTTTTGTAACTGTCAAGTGTATTCTTTAGCTTGAAGTAGAGAAAAATCATGTTACAGGTGTCACCTTGCAATTGACCTCCCACAATTTGACCCTCCTGCAATTTGACAGTTGAATTTTCTGGGAGGTTAGCTCTCAATTTGACCTCATCTGCCTTGCAAGTTGACCTGTGGAGAGACAAGCCATTTGATGTTGTCTCGCAATTTGACTGCTTCAGAATTTGACCCTATTCCAGCAACAGATTAGGGTTGGATTTCAACATACCACCAGTACTCAATTTTTAACCATTGTGTGGCACAGTTGGGATATTTTTCAAAATTTTGTGCCACTGAGCACTGGAGATGAAAAAGCTTCCTACTCTTCTGTCAAGGTTAAGTTCGGAAGAAGTCCAATATTATTTATAATCCTGCAGAAAATGTTTAATGAAAAATGAAGAAAAAAATCCTGCACTGGGTGACATTTTTTCCTGCATTCCTGGTATAGGATTTGCATGGAAGATTCTTGAAAAAAAAATAATATTGGCAGAGTTGTCTCTTGACTTTGGACTTCTCAACCTGGGCACATTTCAGTGACCTTGAGTCAAACTGCAATGCGCTGCCCTCCAAAAATACCTTGATTCTTTTGCACAATGCAAAGGAGCCCAGTACCGGGTCATCAGCCAGTTGGTCAAATGACGGTTGCGCACCCGCTGGTCGTCAAGCGCCGGTTGGTCTAACCACAAGCCAGGGCAGTTCTTGGCCTTGCCAATCCCCAGTTCACCAAACCGCGGTCCAGTCACCCAATTGTTTGGGCACCCAAACAATTGGGTGACAAGAATCATGCTGATTCTTTCTAGAATTTGATGAGCAGAATGGTATCCTACCATAGGTTTTTTTTTTTACAAAATTTAATCTTATAAAAATTTTCACAAAAAGAAAAAAACCTATAAAACCCAACCTAACTTAACCTAACATATCCTAACCTACCCTAACCTAACCTAAACTAACCTAAACTAACATAACATAAACTGACCTAACCTAACCTAACCTAACATTGCTGAAATAAAAAAAAATCTGTGGTAGGATACCATTCTGCTCACTGAATTCTGAAAAAATCTGCATGATTCTTGTCACCCAATTGTTTGGGTGGCGGTTGGACCAACCGGCGCTTGACGACTGGCAGGTGCGCGACCGTCAATTGACCAACCGGCGGCTGACCGGACACAAAGGAACCCTCTGCTGTCCAAGGGTTAAGGGGACTTATTTCTCAACAATTCATCTATACAGGAAAACCAATGAAGTACAGTATATTCCCCTTGAAGTCTAAAGGAGAAGAAGTTATTGTGACATGTGGTTGGCCATACTCAAAGACAATGTCCATGAATCAATAATGTCCGCATCTTGGGGTCCCACTGTACATGTTCAGAATCATTTTCAAATTTTCATTAAACGGATATGAGATCGTAAAGCCTGACGCACATTAGAGTTTTGGAATGATAATTTTACAGGATTATGCCTATTGATGAACTGTTGGGACCAAAAACAAAGTCATTATATTACCAGAAATGTGTTGCGATGAAATTCCACTGTATGTATGGTATGATGATGATGGTTTGTGTTCTTCTTCTATTGTGTATACTGTACTGTATAGAGTATTCAAATCGTCAAAACACTTGGCACTGGATGGAAGATACGCTGTGAAAACCCCGGGTACAACTAGTAAACGAGGTTCTTCGTCGACATCAGTGCAAAAGTACGTTCTGGTGAAAGACAGACCCGTTGTTCGAGGGTCTTTCAACCTGGATTCGGTCCGTGATGACATGGCCTACTTGACACTGAACTCGTCACTGTCGGAATTCGGCGACGGCATTTGTTTCTTGTGTCTGCCCAACGATGAAGTCAGCCTGGGGTGCCTCAATAATCGCAACTGCTTCATCGTCACTCCTGGACAAGGTTAACATACACAGGGTGGGCTGAGAAAAAAGTGAACCAATTTTTGACTGGAAATAGCTCATTGGAAAATCAAACTATGCAGCAACTAAAAAGTATCTCATCGAATGAAAGTTTGTTCCATTCCTTTTCAAATGGCATATGCTGTTTTATTGCCCAAAGTGTCATGACATGGTCACAACAACTATTTGGATGAATACTTTCCAAAAAGAAACAAAGTTATCAAGAAACTCTTCCCGCTTAGCTGCTGTTCTTTGTCAGAACTCTTTTTAAAGGAATGCATGGTGCACAGTACCAGTAATTTAGCCAGCAGATTTCATGTTACACTCAAGAGGATCCACATATTGCCAAAATTTAGGAGATGGGAGACAGAGGAGTGCAAAATAATAGTTTTGAGTTTTGGAATATGTTGCTCCACTCCCAAATTCACATGCAAGCTTTCAGAAACCCCAGGATGTCCCCTGTGATCTCCTAATACATGCACATTTTTTGGGATGACCCAAGTGACCAAGTCATAAAAAAATGGTTCTTTTTTTCTGGCCCGCCCTGTATAGACAAGGGATGCAACCAAATTTCCTGGAATGAAAATTGGAATGGCTTGGGATTGATCTGAAAAATGAGTAATTTTCAGGAAAGCCATTTTGGTGGTTGTAACCGTGATCATTTGTACTGTTCTACATTTCAGAAGATAAAAGAAAGAGCCAAGAAATTTCAAAATTTCTGCTGGTTTTACTCAGTTTTAGCCCCTCCTGAAATTGCCAGAGAACTCATCTGGCCATAACTGAAAAGTTTTCACGCATCATTATATGCTGTAAATTGGAATCATTTTTTAAAATTCAAAATTCATAGAACCTAACATCCAGAGATACATCAGTGTTCCCCAAACCCATGGATTGCAAACCAGGACCACCAGTCTGCAGAAGTCTTTTGCCAGTCTTTGGGAATTTTCTGCACCCTTACAAGTTTATCTAAAGTAGTCTGTTAATTTTTGTCTGAAATTTTTGAAAAACAGCTAGTGGCATGTGGACTTTTCTGATGAAAAATAAAATGTCGCCTCTCTGCTCCTACAATAACTTTTCAGACAAATTACCTGCTGAAAATCATTCAATTTTTTCATTCTGCAAACTTTTTGTCAAGCCCACCTTTCTAACTTCCTTAAGACATTCCACTAAAGCTGTTCATGGATTCTCCGCTTAAGTTTTGCAAAAAGCAGAAACTTTTTGGATACCTACCATAAAGTCTTTCAAACGTTTTTACCATTTATTTAGTCAATTACAAATTGACCAGTTTCTGATGCTCAGCAGTGAATAATCCAGAGGTATTTGCATCTTCTTTAAAGCCAGCAATATTATGGTGGTACTGTACTAAGTTATTCATGTGAGATTTTCCAGAAAACCTTTGTTTCCATTTTCCGAATAACTGAATTCTTGATGAGGAATAATTACCGAGATATCGAAAGAGCTTCAGGGATGTAGTCTCATATATTCTCGTAAACGAATCTGTGTGTCAAAATTGTGCCACATAATACTTATAAAATACAGTACGTATATTTGTGTGTGTATAGGTGAGTTGCCAGATGCAAGCGGAAAACCCAAGCCGGCGTGGACAAAGTTTTCTCCAGAGTTCGTGTCCAACGAATACTGCGACAGAGAACTCAGAAAATCCGGAACGTCTTTGGGAAAATCTGCAGACCAAATTTGCATTCGAAACCCCGACGAAAATCGTTGTGGTGGCGAGTTTTCCGCGTTGGTGTGCCAGTCGGAAGAACTAGTCAGGTGAATCAACTGCATTTTTACTTTCATTCCTGGATAGAGGAAAATCAGATTAAATCAAACTCACACCAGGAACCGGAGTAAACAAGTGCTTTAATGATATTAATATGTTTAATTTAACATGCAGGCCTAACGTTTTGTGTGGTAGAGGTAGTATATAAATGCTTGAAAGTGCTTCAACACAACAGCTCTGCGAATAATTTTCTGAATTTTCAATTTCTTTCAATATGATGAAACTATGGAATAAGTATAAAATTAAAAAAAAAACATTCTCTCCCTTCAGACTTTTCCTCTTTTGAATTTCCCCATAAATGTTCCAATCTTTCTAATCCATTGGCGGAAACAAACAGGAGGCATACATGTGTAAGAAGAACATTTATTCATCAAAAACTGTGCTTCCTCTGAAATAAAGCAACAGCATTCGAAGCTTTCTTCTATGTAAAGAAAATATCCCTTTCTGAATTCCAAAATGAAACCTAATTAATTTTTATTGCACTTTCAGGCTTCCTGCTATTCTGAATTTTGTGTGCAAAAAGACTAGCATCTATATTTTTTGAAGGTTTTTCATTTATGCACATGTAAAATGTTGGGTTTTCTCATATTGTGCCAATCATAGCGAAATTTTTCCACCTTCTTTTCTCATGCCCAGCAATAAGTTTGATGCGTAAAAGACTTGGAGTTTAAAAATTTTATGATATGGTGATCCTTTTCAACTTGGATCTTTGAGGTCCTTGGCGAACACTTTTAGCTTTATAATTAAGGTTTCTCCTCAAAGATTCTCTCAAAATTGTTTCGTCAATTGAAGAGTATCAGATATACAGGCTGAACACTTTGAGTTTCAATTTCGACTCAGTAACTGCATTGTGCAGTGATTTTTCCACTATTTAATTTCTTTTCATCTAAAGAGTGGCAAAAAGGAAAAACTGATGCATTTGCATATTTTATGCATTTGTTCAGACTGTGATTTGTTTTCTTTCAATACCATTATTTGGGGGGGGGGGGTAAACCTTTTGAGTGTTTCAAAGCAGAAAATAGTGTGAATATCAATAAATCAGTAATCATTGAACATATTCATGGCCTACGTTTACTTAGTCTAAGCAAAGAAAAAATTTTCTACAGATATAACAGAGGAAAATGATAGTTTTTTTTAGAGAAAATTTTCGTAACAGCAGTGTCCCAATCAAAAGGACCAAGTGAATATTTGCTATACCAAAAAATTCATTCAATTATATTTTTATTGTAATGTTATTTCACTGTACAGCATAGTATATGAAAGTTTAGAGACATTATGTACATTCTTCCTGTCGATTTCAGGTTCTATGGCTTTCAAGTGTACCCGAAAAACAACCTCACTGACTGCCGCAAACGGGGAATACATGGAATAATCGAGACGACGCAAACCTCAGGCTCAGATGCCTTCTTTAGAAGTATTGGAAATATACCCTGAAGCCATCAGTACTATATATATATTTAATTTTGAATCACCTTGATTTGATTCGACATCTTCATCCAAATTGGAATACGTATAGTTGAACAGTTTTGCTGTTTGACTCCCGTGCTTCTTTTTATTCTCGGCAGATTTTGAAAACCAATCGAGAATTATTCCTTTTTGTGGTGTCAATATATAAAATGATGATGAACTGAAATCATGCAGTGAACGTCGTTGAATACGTCATGAAGCGAATACTTGTCCTTGCGTTTTGCGTGTTAGTGACGGGATTTGGATCTGTCGAAAGTCAAATTCCAGATGTTGGACTTCCTGGTGAGAAATTTGGTATTTTATCCATTCAATGATAAGGTGGGGCCCCAAAATGAAAACCATTTGATTCATTGGGGAAGTGGAGATTCGAGAAATCTGCAAACAGGGCAATTGTCTTAAGGTATGGAAACTCCACTAACATTTTTAGATGAATGGAAAAAATTGAAGGATGGAGGCCTATTCAATAAAATGAGCTTTTTCCATTCACACGAATATAAAGATAAATTCAGTACGTTTCCTAATTCAATTACTGGACAAAATTTGTTGGTTCTTTCAATAATCTGGGCACATTATAGGAATAGACTTTTGTTTCATTGATTTTTGGCATCCTTTTTCATTCCACAAGATTATCAGATTATCTCTGGGCTTCTTCTGCTGCCAGTCAATTTCTTTGTTTTGAAGTTGAAAATACATTTTTCATTTAATTTTTGAGGGACTTTCTCCTAAATTTTGAAAAACAGGAGAACATATTAAATATATTCCCATTCGGGTTCATGCATGGGAAGACCTGATGGAAAATGCAGATGAGGATTGAAAATGAGGTCCCAAGAACCAATTATGTTCACATTTTGGCACTCACATCTTGTTTTCAAATAAATCACAATGATAAATTGTTCAATGGAATCTTCTGTTGATCAAAAATTAGGAAAAAGACCCTCAAAAGTTTAAAGAAAAATTTCCAACTTCGCTCATTCAAGCTATGGAAGATAACAGTGCAGAAGAAAATCACACATTATCTGATCTTCTTATGCATAAGGAGAAGCTAAAAAAAAAAACAAGAAGAAGAACAAGTTTCTGCACACTGTGCTCCAATCATGGAAAGAACTCTGGAAAACAAAGCAAAAATTGGCTTGTTCTGGTTTTTGAATCATGGTAATTTAAAAAATGTAAATTTTTGAGATTATAAAAATCCAAATCTGTTGAAGTGATATCATAATATTGAAAAACGAATTTTCTTCTATACATAACGTGTCCGTATCTCGAGACAATGTCAGGATGTTGTGGCAGATTTTTTTCCATTGTCATCAAGTGTCCCTAAAATCAAAACCGTCCGCATGTCGGGGCCTATCACTTTACTGTCCCATTCTGCGAAACCAAGACTTGAGTTCCCATCCCGTGTGTTGATGTGCAGAATTGGCTGCGCCCGTTTTGGCAATTTTCGACCGAGACTCGGACCACATCAAGACGTTGAAAACGCTGTACAATCAGAAAAACATGACCGGGTTCATTGATTACTGGAAGGCATCGGGACTCACACCCAATTTCCAGGATGCAAATGGACGCGGGTTCCTGCACTGGGAAGTTGGCGTGAATATCCACGCCAAAGAAGCCCCGCTTCAGGAATTCATACCCGTCAGGTTGTTCTTCAGTCGCAGTCATTGGAACGAGACCAACTGGGACTTGAAGGACAATGCTGGTAACTTATGTAGCCTTATTAAAGGTGGTCCCTTGCAATTCAACCCTAATCCATTGGCAAAGTATAGGGTCCAATTGTGAAGCAGTCAAATTGCAACACACTGTGGATAAATTCAAAAATATCTGTACAAAAATGCAAAAAAAAGTAGCAAAAAGCAGGTCAAATTGCTGGGCAAGGGTGAAATTGCAAATTAACCTCCCTGCCAATTTGGCTGTCAAATTGTGGATGGTTGAATTGTGGGAGGTCAAATTGCATGGTACCACCTTTATTATTAAAATGCTTATTCTGTATATGTGGGGCTGGGAAATGAAAAGGGTTAGGAAACAAATTAACACAGGTGGTCAGCCATTTTGCAGCCAGATCCTCCTAGTATTATGGAGTCCCTTCAGAATGCTAATTTATTCAGGAAAAGAGCAGGAGATTGATGTGGGTACAGAAGTTGAGGCAAGACAGTTTCTCACCAGAGTTTCACAGAAATTGCCCAGAAGCACAAAAGTACAGCTGTCACACAAAATGTCCAAGGGAAAATTCTCTGAGTCAGTCTTCTGAAAGGCTGGTGAAACCTTCAAGGGAAGTTTTCCTGCCAGGTCTTTTCTCCCTCCCCCCCCCTCTCTCTCTCTCTGAATCCTGTATCACCACTGGTTTGCAAAATTGCGCCAAAATGGCCAAGCAGAGGGATTTCTGCCACATGCACACTGCTGCTACTCGCCAGGGTTATTCCCCAGAGAAATTCCTTTGCCTGTGCGGCAACATCTTGTGGCAATAACTGACAGTACAATATATTGAGAAACTAACAAATGGAACAATATTTAGGAATATATTTCTGAAATTAAACTTGATAATTTTCTGATTCTGGCTGTTTTTTCTTTCATATTCTCCCTGTGACTATTATGAAATAAGGTCTGACTGCCCTTCATTATGCGGTGCTGTATGACAAGCATTCCATGGTCCAAATTGTGCTGCTCATGGGGGCTTCCACAGTGGTCAAGACTCCCCAGGAGAAAACATCAGTGCATCTGGCAGCCGAAAGAGGCCTCAGAATCACTGCCCATGAGCTTCTCAAAGGTTGGTTCTGTATATAATGATGGAGTTAAAATCTCATCACAACAAATACCATTACAATAATACAACAATTTATTTGAGGTGACAAACATTTTCTCAGTAAGTCACTGATGACAAAATTCTATGGAATATATGTTGAACAAATTTAACAAACTTTGCAATCTCACTTTGAGAAACTGTTTTGGGGAATGTTTAATAGATTCTCCAAGTATAATTTTTTGACTATGGGGCAGGTAGAGTCAGAACTTTCCAAACCAAAATGTGACTGCTGGTTGGTTCTTGGAGAATGCTAGGATGGAAGCTATATTCAATGACATACATTTTTCCAATGATGTGGTAATACACTTCATCCTCCCAGAATGAAGAGATTATTCCAACAGATGAAATGCATGATTGGAGCTGAATGATCCCTCACTGAAGATCCCTCACTGGGGGATCTTCAGTGAGGGGATCTTCATTTTTTCTGAAGATCCATCACTTCTGTGAAAAATATTTTAAAATCTGAGAATGCCTGAAAAGCAGGATCCAATTTATCAGTGGTAGTTCTAATGTTCAATTGCTTCTGAATCATTGATTTTTTCAAGTCTCATTAGAAATAATTATTCTGCAACCTCAAACTTTTTTTCTTAAGCAGTACCCAAAAGTTTATTGTCAAAAGATTTCATTGTAACATATATTACTTTCTGAAATTGAGTAATTTGACGAATCGTGATTGCGAAATACAGTCAAGGAAGTCTGAGTTTATTTCGATAATCTGATTATAACAAATCAGTCAGTGCAACAAACTTTTTGTTGAATCAATCCCCAGAAGTTTGGGGTGATGAAATTTCATTGTAATATATGATAATTTCTGAAAGGAATAATCTGATGGAATGGATAAAAAAATACAAAATAGAGAGTCTGCGTTTACTTCAAAAATATAATTACAAGAAATTGTTCAGTACAACAAAGTTTTATTCTGAAGCAGTCAAAGTCTGTTAATATGTAACAAGGTTTTACTCTTATTTTGTAACACCTTGTCAAATTAATTAATTCGATGCATTTGGTAAAAAAATACAATGAAATACAATCTGGGTTCATTTTTAATTTTTCAATATAAGAAATTATTCCGCAAAATCGAACTTTCTTTTGAAGAACTACCCAGAAGTTTATTGTTGCGAAATTTCTCTGTAATTGTCATTAATTTCTGAAATTGATTAATCTGCAGAAGAATTTCGTTTGAAAAAATACAGCAGAGGATATTTGAGTTTATTAATAAAATGTCATCATTATAACAAATTATTTAGCAATGTACTGTACAACAAAACTTTTTTTGAAGCAATCCCCAAAATTTTGTTGTAATGAGACTTTGACGTTCTATGTGCATAGTTATTTGTTAAAATGAATGAATTTGACACACACTGTTTTTGTAAAAAATAAACCATGTAAATAGGGAGTCCGGGGTTCAGTCCGTACCCGAAAGAGGCGCTGTTTTTCGTGGACGAGACCGGCTACACTCCTTTGCACCTGGCTGCTGCCAGCAACTCGTCCAGTGTTGCCGAATTGTTGGCCGAGTACGCAGACAGTCCCAGCTACTACATCGGATACAAGCCCCCGGGGTTCCCGAACATGCCGAGTTCCTTGCAATTGGCCATTGCCAAAAGCAGTTCTGCAGTCGTGGCTGTGTTCTTGGGACTGCTCGAGTCCGACAGTGCTTTGCTCCTGGAACCGAACCCGGCGGGTTTCCTTCCTCTACAGGTAATGTGTAATTCAACAGTTGAAGCCTCAAGTTGAGTCAAATTTCAAAGGACCAGCAATAAAAAAGGGGGGGGGGGGGGGGAGGCTAGAAGAATCACAGGAAATTTGAATTTCTGATTTTCTGGGAATTCAATTTTTTTCTTTTTAGTGAGTTGACGAGATACTGAAATTGGGGGAAATGTTCACTTGTTCAATACTGTAATTCTTTATATTCTTTTCAAAACACATAGACCTAAATTTGTATTGCTTTCATCTTTATTCCTGGGTCTATGATATTAGATTTTTCTGCATGGCGTCAAAATGTCTGATTTGGTGTGGTTTTCTTCAAGATTCTATCATCTTCCCAATCTTGAATTTAAGTCCTACATTTTTCGATTTCCCAGGAATTTATCCCAACTTTTAGACAAAAAGGCAAACCAATTATACACATGCTTCCATTTGAGTCTGGAGGGAAAATAGAAAATACAGTGAGACCCCCACATGCGGACCCCCGCACCTCAACATGCAGACAATTTTACATATAGGGACATTTATTTTTCAATAAAAAGGCTTAAAAAAATACACTGATGAGGCAACTTGCAGGCATGGTATGATGAAATTTTCAAAATATTCAAGGAAAATTGACTCTCATTGGGCTTAAATGCAATAAACAGATACTTCCAATTCTAAGATCCATTGCGAGAAAAATTCGTTGGCATTTCTCCCCTCATTTTCCCACCCATTCAGCTAATAAAAAAAATTATCTCTGGGAAAGAGGGACTTCGTCCTTCCCTCTTTGTGACTTGAATGTTATTTTTACAGGTGCTGGCAACATTCCAATGCACTGTACAGAGGTACACTAAATGTGCAATATGCTCCAACTATTCTTATTAGGTTGAAAATATATTTGCTGAATCAAAGCAATGTGGCAGACACATTTTATTCATGGAATTCTGAAGAACATTTTTTTCATGAAACACAAATTGAAAATTATATAATGTGAGTCTATAATAGATACCTGACTCGGGGAAATGTTAACTCAGGGACACTCTTGATGCACCAGTTACATCTGCATCTGCGGGTCTCACTGTATTATTCAACATGCCGACATTCAGACGCAGTGCAAATTTGGTGGATGCACCTATTATGTCCTCATCTCGGGGCCCAACTTTACTTCGCAATATAAAAAAAATTGATTGAAACGGGGATCAATTTTCTTTGTGTGCTGCATATACTACTGCAAGTAGATTGCAGCGAATAATGGCGACGAGGCCATAGTGAAAATGTTGGTGAGACGGCTGAAGAAACGCGGAGTTTCCTGGCTTTGTGCCCCGGACAAGTTCAGGAGGAATGCGCTTCACTATGCAGCCAGATTCCAACACGTGGAAGTCATGCGAATCATCCTCGACAGGGTCAGTCAGGCGGACAAGGAGTTCTGCGTGCATCAGAAGGGCGTCAACGGCTGGCTCCCTCTGCACTACGCGGCCAAGTATGGAACAAACTGATATTTCCCCAGTTGCGGCTAGATGTCTCTCTGGTATCGAACCAAATCTCAGTCTGGTCTCTCTGATCATATTTCGAAAAGGTACAACAACCACGAAGCTGTGGACTTTATTCTGCGAGTGTCGAAAGACCAAGTGAATGCTGCGCTGCAGACGGGGCAAACGGCGTTGATTTTGGCTGCTGAGCAGTGTCATCTGTGTGAAGACGCGACGACTGTGAAGCTGTTGATTCGCGGTGGCGCTGACGTCAACCAGGAAGCCGCCAGAAGTCCCCTAGAGCTTTGTCAGGATCGCGATTGTTTGTCTTGCGTCGAGGCCATACAAGTGAGACTTGCGATAATTTTTTTTCGAATTCAATTTTATGAAGAATAATTTATATCAACGTCGAAATACTTTTATTTGCTTGACATCAGGAATCGTTGTCAGCACAGCAAGAGGACCCTGAAGAAACTTTTGAGTGCAGCCAGCAGCCAGCCGAGAACATCTTCTCCGGTAATCTAAAAGCTATTTCTATTGCAAGGAATCTTGTTTCAACAATTTATTCATTATAAAAAATTTCTTTCTTGGTCCGAACACGTTCCCAGCATAGGCACCATGATCTAAAAATCGTATTTCAACAAATCCTAGCATGTGTGATGTGCCACAGAAATTATTCAATGAATGGCTGAAAAATGGAATATTTTGAACTGGTAATGTGCAGCATTCCAAGTTCTTTCGAGAAGCAAAACTTCCTCCAGAGATCTTTTAGTGTTCCAAAAAAAGCAAAACAAATGAATTAACACAGGGGAAATTTCCAGCTCCAATTCAGAATGTATGCCCTTCTTTCAAGTACATATTACACAAAAATACGTATTTTATTTTCAGAAAAAAACAGGTTTGAATGATTGAGCTCTTGAGGGAAGTACAGTTTCTGTTCAACATAAAAGTAATGCCTTCTTTCATTTATGCTTCAAGCCAAACAACACTTGGGTGACTATAGTGAGCAAGGTTCAATGAAAAAACCGATTCGCCTCAACAACAAAAAAACCGTTACAACAAAAACTTCGTTCAAATAAAAAATACATGAAAATGCAGACTCGTTTCAATGTAATTTACTCGTACTATTCGTTTGAAAAGGTGTGACTGGGTCTTCCAAAACACCGAGTGGGAGCCACGACTGCGGAGTGCCCCGACTGGATCGCTCGAGGCAAATGTGTTTCTTTGTGGAAATCGTGGACTTCAGCCAAGTCCGGTCTCCGTCTCGTGGCTCCGTCGTCGGATACGGCGTCGTCATCGACGAAACCGTCGTGTCGGTGCCCGTGTCTCTGTTCCTCACCGACGGGTGGGTGAGAGAGCGACATCTGTTCTCAACATAAGAACTGTGTCATATACGCATTGTAGTAGCTCTGACGAGATACCCCCCACCCTAGTAATGTATCATGCGCAGCTTTTTTATCCCCTGGAATTGAAACTGTGAGACCAAAAAAATATGTGTGCACCTCATCAATATGAAGGGGGAAGAAGTGGAATAATGTGGGAATTCATCTTTATCCTGAATGAAGAAAACAAATATTTTAATTTTCAAAGAGAAAAAATGGCTACAACTGAGGGGGGGGGGGGGGAAATGCAGCAAGTGAACTCACTGCTGCAATTCCTGCAGCAAGCTGTAATAGCAGCAAGTCATACCTGCAGTGACTTATCATAGTTGCAAGTTAACAGTGTGGCAAGTAGTAGCAATGGCTATAGTTCAATAGCTTGTGGCAAGTTGAGTGCATGGCAAGTTAGAAAGTGGGAAGTTTCAGTGACACACCAAATGATACCACCCAATCACATGTAAATTCAGATATGAAATGTTCTTGAGTATAATAATGGACAAGGGGATCTCAATCATTATACTTTTACTGTAATGACTTACTCAGAATGATGCCTGATTTATTTTAGTTTTCCTGTTTTTTAAACGTGGCAGAAATTTTTTCATTGCACCAAGTTTGCTGGCTCTAAATCAGAATTTCCCTTCAGAACACAATGAAAGGACATTTGGTCTAGGGAGATTTGTGGTCCTATATTCCAAATTAGCACTAAATTCAGGGTTGACTGTATAGTTTGCATATAAAAGTTGATCAAACAATTCATCAGGCAGATAGTGAATTGAACACTGTAGAACAGTGTCCTCCTGAGGTCACTGCTCCAACCTGTGGTCTGTAGACCAACTCCAGTTGTTTGCCAGTCTGCAGGAAATGTTTTCAGCTTTCTAAATTTTTGAGTGCGCAACAATTTTATGAAAGTTTGCTGCTCCACAGAAAATGATCTGGGAAAGTTGCAGGTCCACAACAATTTTTTGGAACATTTGCTGTGAAACACAAAAAGTTTGGGAAACACTGCTGTAATAAAGACTTCATCACTGGAACTGTGATCTCATCAGTCAAATTTCCATTTGAAAATGCCATTGAAATTAGCTGAACAGCTCAAGTGCAGTTCATTCGGTTTTCTTCCATGTGCATAGATGCTCTTTGCAACCTGTACTTTCACTGTTCCGGCAGTGGGACTAAACGTGAGATGCCTGTCATATGCAAGGATGGGTTTTTATATACGTAAGCCTGATAATGTTAGACTGAAAACAATGGGGTTTTGCACCTCATTCATGGACACCTGCTCTGATGCTCCCAATTGTGTTACTAAAATATATACTGTATTGGGTATATGAAGGGGAGAAATGAGTCTCTCCCTCTGTTTCTCTCATCATTGTGTATGCAGCATTTTCGGCACTCCGGAATTCGTCAAGGACGGATCTTACGCCATCAAGACCCCCGGCCGACGGGGCAGGAGTTCAGGACGGTATATTCAGGTCGACGGGCTGGCCCACGAGCACCCGCAGCTGGACACCGTCTCCGGGGCCAACTCCTTCGCCTTCTTCCTCCTCACCGAGCCGTTGACGGTGTTTGACGACGGCATCTGCTTCTTGTGCATGCCGCAAGTCAACGTGCCTCTGGGCTGCTTGAACAGCTGCTTCGTCGTCACGCCGGTTATCTTGACGAAGACGACAACTAACACTGGTATATGGTTTTAAACAAATATGGACCCTTGGGTAACATACTTTTGGGGTAACTTTGGTTTTGAGGAAGAGTCAAAACTCAAAAAAAAAAAAACGTGTAAAAATTGTCATGTCAGTGCATATAGGTGAATTATTTGCACTCAGATTGTACCACAAATTTCAGCAATAAAATCAAATTTTGAATTTTCCTAATTGAAAAAGTGTTTCACTTCATTTTTGCTTTCTGACAGGGCCCCCCCCCCCCTGTCAGAAAGCAAAA